TAGGAAAATATGTATGACCAGATCAGCCAGTGACTTAAACAGCAGTCTGTACAAAGCTCTCGGCAACTGCTTCTATTCCTTCACATGACAAATTACAAGGAAGATTATTAAGGTAAAAATAACGTACACGATATTTCATCCATAACATTTATTACAAATTCACAAAATGTTAGGTCATTAATAACCTTTTGTTTCCCATCCCATTTTATGGCTCTTCCTTTCATATCGCTTAACTTTCGCTCTCCTTGTTCTGAAACAGAATAAATATGTTGTCAAAATCAAATGATGAGAACATACATATATATATATTCATATTGTGCACAAATGAAAAATGCAATCATCTTTATGGTACAAGAGTATAAAAGGATTTTTCCATTTACTGTGCGAGCCGTTCGTTATTTTTGGAGATATTTCGAAAACAGATTTCACAGACTTAAAAGTACTTCTAGGGTACACACCCAGTCATGAATCCATATTTAGTTATTTTACTACCTCAGTTATCATATGATTCATACAACAGATATATAAAATGTTAAAAAGTAAATGAGATACTGAAATTTACCTCTGCTTGATGGTAGGTTCGATGATATTTCTCCTCTGGAAACTCTTGTACCTGTCCTCAAGGATATTCCCTTCCGGCTTGACACTCCGTAAATTTCCCTTCAAATCTTCTCCTAAATTAAATTCCAGATCTAGGGGTTCAAATTTTCTTTTGCTTAACTGCTTTGGTTCCTTTTCTTTAATAGCTTTTACTCTCTCTCTTTTTTCTCTGAGTTTTGCAAGCTTCTTATCCTTGGCCTCTAATTCCTGGTTCAGTAATTTCAATCTTGAAGACAAAAAAAAAACAGAAAACTGAAGAAAATCTGGACAAATACCATGTAAACCGGACTTCGGAGATATGGGTGTCTCGGCATAAATAATGTGACATTTTCCTCATTCTTCAAGTATTTTACCTAATTTTTTAATAAATATTCACATACACATGTAGGCTGTAAGCACACGAACTAATGGGTACATAAAACATGTGACCATGAGTTACATCTCACATGCAGC